AGCTTCCCGGGCAACTTTGCACCACGCCCGCCCAACTAGCTTGGCTCGTCCAGCCAGCAGGCCAGTCCGGGGGCATGCGAGTGCATGGTCTCCGAATGCATCAGCGCGGCGTCCGCACCCATGCTCCGAGGTGCTCCCGCAGCGGCCTAGTGCGAGCCGGAGTCGGCTGTCACAACCTGGATTTCATTTTGTTGGGGGCCACGCGCAGCGAAACAACTCTGGAAATGTTAAATGATTGGTTGTGTGTTTGCTGCAGGCCGGCTTGGTATTCAATGTCGCCAACTCATCCATCGAGCACGGCTTCATGCAACGAAAGCTCCACTCACGCCATGTGGTGGCCGCCTACGCTGTGCCGAGGACGTATGGGGACGTAGGTCCTCGCCGGGAGTCGGCTGGGGGCAGGGGCGTGGAGCCAGCCGTCATCTTGCAGGACCTCATGCACAGCCGGCTCGTCGGCAGCAGAGGCGACGGTGTCGAGGGGGAGCTCCAGCAAAGAGCTGGTGAGGGCCCTCTGCGCCACGACAGCGATGATGCTGCTCCAGCGAGACACATGGGTGGCACGCAGAGCCGAGCGAACGGCAGCGTGCGCACGTGCAGCTCGACCAATCTCAACAGCAAATACGGACGAGGTGGCAGCGCGGCGAGCGGATAGCTCGGGGTAGGTGTCGCGACGCTTACGCCGCGTTGCTTGCTGAAACGCGAGGCCGGGCTGACTGTCAGCTCCGGGCCGCGGCTCGCCGGAGCGAGTGACTGGGCTGACGCAGGTCGTGTCAACAGCAAGCTAAGCCCCATGCCAGGACCCGAGCACCAGCCTCCTGGCAGACACTGGCGGCAGCTCGCTCGAGCGGGAGGGCGCGGGAGGCAAGGTGCTCGGTGCTCGCCGAGCGGGTCAAGCTTGGCAAGCAGACCACGGCAGGCGCAGAGTCGGGGCGCGAGCGGCAGCGCAAGGCGCAGGCGGAGGAGGAGCACCCGGAGCTCTGCGGAAGGGCTGGTGACTGCGTCGTGCAGGGCACGAGTTTCGGTAGTGTGAAGGAATTGACGAAAAGGCCTGAAAAGGCTGACATTTCGCGCCGGCGCCGCGGGTGGGTGGCCGATGCCACGGTCGTCGACGTTCGTCTCCGCTGTGGTCTGCTGTCGGCGATTCCGAGGAGAAGCGCTGTCTTGGTGAAATTGTTCTATGCCGGCGTAGGCTCAAGCAAGCCTGTGCAGAATCCGGGAGCGAGGTCAGAGTGGCCTTTTTCAATGGAGGCTAAAATCGATGGAGTGCTCAGCACCTCGCTTGAACCGGTTGAAGAGCTCCTGCTTGCAACGGGCAAACACCGCTCTGTGAATTCTGAGGCCGCATGGAGATTGCGGCAGAGAAGGTAGAGCTTTATTGCAGCAGTAAAGTGAAGTTGCTCTCGCCTCAGGAGCGGCTCCTCTCTCCATTGCTTTGTAGCTGCACCCCTGCTCTAACTGAGGCCGATGGCCGAGCTTGACTACTTGAAGCAGCTCGGTGGGTAAGGTTGGTGGTTTTGCAATTGTTTGGTTGACTATGTTGTTGACACACGTTAACGAAAGCCTAGGACACTGGAGGATGCACGCGACTTCATGACCATGATGGTGACGAAAACCAGTGACAATCGCACCTTAGACGAATTTGCTGTTCCAGCGAGCCGCCACCATGTTTGTTTGGCTTGGGCTCGAGGCCAGCAGCTGGCAGCATCTTGGCCTTCTAGCATCTCTTTGTTTGCACGGCATGTGGTGCTGCTATGGCTCGGTCCAATCGGGTGTGGCCATGGAGTCGGGACTTTCCCCTTCTGGGCCAGGATATATTTGGCGGCGACTGTTCCAGAATTGCACGGATACGCACGGTCTGATTCTGAGTTCAGCTTTGGCTGCAAGCATCCCTGGCTGAATCGGAACATTGTTGGTTTGATGTTTGCGTGAGGTTCTGGATGGTGTGGTTCTGTCGGACATGAACTGCAATGATCAGCGTGCACCAGCCTCTGCAGTCAAGATTTCAGTGACAGTCATTGCCATTGCCATTGCTGATGTCCGTTTCGATGTAACGAATCTGGAAGCATTCTGCAACACTGGACCATGACATCAAGTGAAGCTCTGTCACGTCTCAGCTCGGCCGGTCTCAGCGGAGGGCTGGAGGGAGGCGGATCCTTCCGATCATTACACTTGTCAGCGCTTGCCTGACTTCGTTGGACAGGAAAGCTGGAAAGCTTCAAAGTAGCAGGTCCATCACGGCACCCTTTGCCCTCTTGTGGTCGTTGTCTGCTGTTTTTGGACTTGTACAATGTCGCTTTTTTATATCAAGCCATGCCAATGATGATGCCACCTGGGCCCAGGTCAGAACTTGCACCGAGGCTTGCGATTCTCGGCTCTTCTAGTGCTATATCAGCTATGTTGGGAGAGGTTCCATGAGTTCGTTCGGTTGAAGAGCCGAGGCTACCATCGAAAAGGTCTTGGAGGACATGGGCCTTGGCTGGTGCTTGAAGAAAGCTTGCGATGAGCAGAAGGCGGGAGTCGTCCTGCTTTCGCTTTACAGTTTGATATACCCGACTCCTGTAAGAGGCCAACTTAGGTCGTCGACGCAGCAGTGCTCGCCTCTGCGACTGCACACACCTCGACTCCAACTGGCGCGGGGGGGTGGGGGGGGGTGTCTGAGGCCTGGACCGCGAGGCCGCCCTTGCCATGGCCCAAGCCGCCCAAGCCGCAGCCCAAACTCAGCAGGCCGAGGCCGGGAAGCGCGAGGCCTGGGGGCCTGCTGGCCCCCATGCACCACATTGCAGGTAGCACCCGTCGCGGAGGAGCCCGCGGCAAAGGCCTGTGACTGCCCACACTTTGGCTGCGGCTGCAGTTGCCTTCGCTTGCCCAGGCCTCAAAAGCTGCGGACCAATGGGCCCAGTATATTGACGAGGAGCGGAACAGAAGCGATGCGCATGGCCGGTGCTCACAATCTTGTTAGCCTGACAGGACTTTGTGAAGTTGCTCGGCTGCAGATCTTCAGGCTCAGAACTCAGAGTTCGGTTGGCTTTGGAACTAAGGCGGGTGCTGGCGTGCACCGAAGCTACGGAACTCCATGACCTCGAGAAAGAGGTCGGGAGGTTTCTTGGAGTCGCGGCGCCTCGTGGATGGAACCGAGGCGGTGGCCTGCAAGTCATCCAAAATCGGTAACTGGATGATATGGATGGTGCACAGGGCACATCTGGACGACGAGACCTTGGTCAAATTCGAGCCTTGGGCGTGTTTGGAATCATCACACACACACATACATAGATTCTGACATAGATAGCCACATCGCCCACACGTCGCCTTTGCGGCTCAGTCAGGACTTCACGAACCTGAAGATGCCGGAAGGGAACGTGGAAGCGCTGATTTCTCCAAAGCTGGCCGTGGCCATGGAGAGCGCTTTGGCGAGGAGAGGATGCGGAGCAGAGGGACTGCGGAGAGACGTGTTGAAGATGCGGTGGGGCGCGTTCCGTTTGCTGCACGTTGCCGCAGCCAAGGCAACACGCACATCGAGCAGTTGTCGCTTGATTTCATTTCGATTCCCATCGTGGGGGCGTCGTGACGTCGCACAACCGTAGAGTCCTACGCTTTAGCTGTGGTGTAGATGTGTTGGCATGGGGATATTCGATGTAAGCGGACCTACCGCCTACACAACTGTGCATATTTCCCCCGTCGGGCTCAGCCGAGGCTTGCGAAAAATCTGGGTTCGGACTAGGCGTCTGTATGCAGCATGCCAAACGAGTGAAGGCAGTAACATAGCTCAGACCACCTAGGAGTGGCAAGGAAGGCGACAAACCATAACCCAACCAGCTTAAAGCAGAAACGTCGTATGCACCAGGCCACCACCTCAACAATTCTCGAGGGTCCGGCTGCACATGCCCGCACGTCCGTGCCAACACCGCCTCTCGCGAAGTTTGTCTTCAAACTAGAGGCTGGAGTGACTGAAGTGAAGCCCCCAACGCAGATTCACCACCGGGAACAGACGAACACATGTTTTTTGGTGATTGTCCTGCTAGATGGAGCTTCGACTCCTTCTGGACTTTGTATTCAGAGTGCAGGTCTTGCTAAAGGCGATGGCCCTTCAGAAAAACCAATGAGCTCAGCCCCCGCGGCTCCCGTCAGCCGAACGGGTTAGTCCCGAATAGCCTCGCTCTTTTTCTCCGGTGCCTCGGAACCCCGTTTTGGTCGCGCTTCTCTTCCCTTTGAGGCTCCTGGGTTGCAGCAACTTGCAAGACCCCGAAGCGGCCATCCTGGCAGTGTCGCTGCGCTCCAACAGCTCGTTAAAGGTGGGGCAAAGCGCGCGTTGAGTGTTCAAGCCCGTTTCCACCTCGATGCGTATATTTCAGGACGTCTACTGTATAGGTCCTGAGCAGGTGGATCTTGCAGAGTGGGCGCGCAGAGTTGCGTCAGACGTTTCCGGGCTTTGGGTGACGACTAGGTGGAAGCGTTGTGTGCGCACTTGTTGCAAGTGTTGGGCTTCCGAGCTGGAGCGTGATGTAACTTAGAAGGTGACGGTGTGCATGTGGGTGACTTGAGCCTTGCAAAGGGGGTTTCGCGGTGATGTGTCGGGAAGCGGCCCTTCCTGGAGCCAGGTCTTGAACATCGACACCAATGCCATCCAACCCCTCACCCTGGAGTCCATCGCAAAGGGCACCAGTGTCAACCAAGCTTTGCAGGAGGGGAGGTCATATCATGCCAGCATGAGCTCCAAAGACGACCACCCCATAAATAAGCACCCCAGTCCGCTGTGCGTGACTGTACGTAAGTGGTAGCACGATCTGCGGAGGCATGGCGTTGTGGCAGGAGCACACGCGGGACTGAGGCGAAGATCATGCACGTGCAAATCCGCGCAGTAGCGGGAACAGTTACGAGCTTCTCCAAAGCAAACACCAGTCACAACGAATCAACTGTGAAGGCCGAAGTAAGCGCGAGACTGGCAGGCACCGCGCGATTGGATCGACAGCATGACGCGATGGAATGCTACAATGATTTCGACGACTCGCAAGAACATGATTTTGGTACGGTGTTGCAGAAAACGTACACCACGGGACCACTGCGCACCTGACCTGCGTGCCGCGCGTCTTCACTAACCAATAGACCCCACGAGACACCGTTACTCCCACTCTGTAAAGTCTTACCCGACTGTGTATAAGGAGCAAACAACCAATTCATGCCCAGGTTCCGCGAGATAGAGCCAGAAACTAGGGCAACTAGGGTGTCGAGCTCCTGGGTTGGGTTGATGGGTGGGTTTTGCAGATGAATCATGGGACCTGCTCGCAGGAGTTGCGTTGCAACAACACGGCCAGCGGGAGGCTGGTCACCGAGGCTTTTCTCCACGCCCTGAAGTCCAACCCCATGATGTGCAAGCTCGGCTATCCCGTGACGGATGCCTACTTCCGCGGCGAGATTGACAAGCAGCTCACCCGCAACAACGACGCCGCCCGAAAGCGGCGCCTGGAGGAAAAGCGCCGCAAAGAGGCGGAGGCGGAGGCACTCGGCGAGAGCCCGAGCCATCAGAGCTCGAGTGCTAAGGCGTACCCGAAGGTGAGTGCCAAGGCCAATGGTAGTTGGCCTCCCAAGGCACCCGCCGTTTCTGAGGATGTGGCGAAGGAGACGCCGCAGCCCGAGGCCAAGCCCGAGGTCGCGGTTCAGGCGACGGCAGCCTTGACGGAGACGGGAGCAGAGAAGGATGTCGACCCAGAGTCAAGTCCCAAAGCCGAGCCCGAGAAGGCCAAGCCTCTGACTGCTTCGGAAACGGGCAAAGCGGAGAAGGAGATAGAGACGTGCCGGGAGGAAACGGAAGCCGAGAGTCTCCACGACAGCTCTGAGCCTAAGAAAACTACCCAGACCATCGAATCCTTTCTCGCTGAGCCCTTGGATGCGCTTCCGGGCATGGTCGCTGGCATGGAAGGCGTGAAAGCCTCAGGGAACCTTTAAAGTCCTAGCCAGCTGCATCCCTGTGGACAACGAGGGTAGGGGTAGGAGTTCAAATCCTCGAGGTTTCTGCAAAGGCCGACTTTCGCTCAGAGCTTAACTGCATCTCAAGTCTGCATTTTGCGGCCTTCGGAACCTTCCGAGGTGGCTACCTCTACAAGAAAAGCCCGGCCACTCTGCGGATGAAGGCCTGGGACTGGAGGCCGGGAACCTCGTGGCTTGGGCCGCAGCTTGGCATGGCTTGGCAGTGAGGTTTTTCGTGATCCATGGCCGTCGGCTGCTGTGGTGGAGGCGGTGCTTTCCTTGCAGCCAGCGCCACGGCGCATCAATGTCGTCACATCGTGAGGAGAGATCGAGATGTTCCGGAGACCCCGGAAGACTTGATGCATCCTGACCCAAGTGGGTGTAAAGGCAGGGGGCTTGCGAGCATCCTACGGCATCTTAAAGGGTGGCCGTCGAGGCTTCATCGACTTTGCTCTGAGTCGTGCCCGAGTTGTACCAGATGAAAAGAACCCCACGCTGTTCACATTGGAGGCGGTCGATGGTGCTTGGAAGGACAGGAGGGGGGGAGGCCTCTTACCTGTTTGCATCGGCTTCTGCAAGGACGGCTCCCTCAAGGCCCGGGGCCTCGGCCGAGCGTAACCGACTTGTTCTTTTCGCGAACCTCGCCCCAGGACATGAGCGATGCACAGCGGACGTTTGAGTGGCCTCCTCAGTTCACCGTGCTGCCCTTGCTTCAGAAGAGAGATGTGCTTCCGACTAGGTTTGATTGTACTGATTCAGCGCACACCCGCGGGCAGTGGATCGCAGCCTTGTGCAAACTGCAAGCGTGAGGCAAGAGTCCGATCCAGGCTCAGCAACTCGAAGTAGAAGTGGAGCGTGCATATCAGTCCTCCTGCATAGGCGAATAGATAGATATCTGCATCTTCTGCAGTGCGAGTGCGAGACGGATTCTTGATTATGGAAGACCACCCGTAGCATCTTCAGCGAAGCTGATGAAGTTAGATGAGGCCGGCTCTTCCCCTTCACTCACGCCTGCCGAAGCGTTGGGCGCAGGGCCCATTGCTTTATCGAAGATGGCGCTTTGGTTTAAACCAAGCGTTTCAATGCCTCTGTCCAGGGCCGGAGCGCTAGAGCTCTCGAAGATTGAAAAATGAAGTTTGACTCTGTGGATGGTGCTCTTGTGCTCATTATAGCCAGCTCACATTGCACCAAAGCTTCCGGACTCTCCCCCGCTCACGGACTGACTGTGCCCGGGCGCCTGGCATCCATCGGCCATTGAGTGGCAAATACCAGAGATGCAGCTTGCACGATGAGTAAGAGACTAGGATTGCCCGGAACACTTGCATCAGACACAAGAAGTCGCGTGTGGTGGCCTCTGGGCTGTCACACCTGAGTAGTGTGCATGCCAGGCCTTGTGGCTGGCATAACATGATGTGGGGAAGTGGCCGCCGTTGGCAGACTGGTCCGTTGGGGCCATTCCCTCAATAAAGCCGGCCAACATCACGCAAAAATGATAGCCGCTTCATCAGGCTAATCCTACTAGTATTTTAGGCATGCTGCCACCACCTGGTGGCTTCAACTTCATTGGTGACACGATGTCCTGCCAGGCATTGGACATGCAGTCTGCAAAGCCCAACTGACAACATGTATGTCAGGATGAACAGCGTATTCGAAGCAGGAGGCACAGCTCAGAGTGAGTTCCGTGCGGGCCACACAAAGGAGGCGTTGGAGCTTCCAGCAAAGATGTAGCTGTTTGAACTATCAGCCTTCCATGCACACTGGGCCGAGGCAGTCCATGCTAAAGGATCACTTAACAGGAGACGTATGCGAGACAGTGCCTGGGCAATGCTCCGAACATCTCAAGAACTCCTCGACAGGATGCCTAGCTTTAAACATCCCCCCTGTCGCGCTGGCATCTTCCCATACTTGAGGGGCAGGGCTTAGGGTTTATAGGGTTTATGGGGCTTAGGGGTTTGGTATTTTGTTTAGGGTTTGGGGTTGGGGGATAAAGCCTAAACTCCCCAAGCACCGCTGGGAGGCTGCCGAGCACAGCGACCGATTTTGAAGGTTCTCAAGGACAGCCGCGGGCAAGGAGAGGGAGTCTAGGGTTTCAAGGGTTTTTGAAGTTTAACGGGTTTGAGGGTTGAAAAATTGTTTACAGCGGTTAAAGGGTATTGAGGTTTAGGTTGCCGCAGTTTAAAGGGCTTAGGATTTCAACGGTTTCAATGGCTTAGGGCTCAAAGGTTACGGGTCCTGTCTTGGTTGCTAAGAGAGTGGTATTAAGGGTCTTCAAGTCAAGGCTTGAGCCCCTAAACCCCCTTACACACCTGTCGCTGTATCGCTGCGATTTGGCAAGGTGCCGCCCCAAGGAGCCGCAACGCAAATGGCCCCCAAAGCTCTCTCACGCCTTTTGGCCATGGCCCTCGCGCTGGGTGACAACTCTCGCCTTCCGAGCCTTCGAGATGCTGGGTCGTTGAAAATATGTCAGTTTTTTAGTTGTAGATCGAGTTTATTGACCGTGTCTTTTCAACTTGTAAAGTCAAGATAGCCTTGATGTGTACGTCAGATTTTGTACGCAGGGCAATTAATTCCCAAGGAGCAGAGGTGAGCTGGACTGGGCCCTGAATAACAGGGCAACGGCCCAAGTTCAAGCCACCTACGTACGGGGCGATCGAGCAGTGCAACGTCGCCAAGGTCACCGACATGTCTCGCATGTTCGAAAATGCCTTTGCCTTCAACCAACCCATCGGTTCGTGGGACACGTCTCATGTCGCGACCATGAGCAGCATGTTCAGCCTTGCAGAGGCCTTCAACCAACCGATTGGTTCGTGGGACACGTCTTACGTCACGAACATGCAATACATGTTCTCCGGTGCAAAGGCATTCAACCAGCCGATTGGTTCGTGGGACAGGTCTCACGTCATGGACATGAGCAGCATGTTCGAAAACGCTTTTGCCTTCAACCAACCCATTGGTTCGTGGGACACGTCTCATGTCGCGACCATGAGCAGCATGTTCTACGACGCCATTGACTTCAACCAGCCCATTGGTTCGTGGGACACATCTCAAGTAACGGACATGCGCCACATGTTCCGTGATGCACATGCCTTCAACCAGCCGATTGAGTCGTGGAACACGTTTCAGGTGACGGACATGTACGAAATGTTCCTCGATGCCTTTGCCTTCAACTGGCCGATTGAGTCGTGGAACACGTCTCAGGTCAGGAGTATGCGGCGCATGTTTTGGTCGGCACGGTCTTTCTGCCGGAGCATCAGTGCTTGGAACCTCTCAGACGCTAAGGAGAGATACTCGAAGAATGGAGCTACGTGCCTCTCTTGCCCCCTTTTCTTCATTCCGTTTGGCGACGGCTGCGTCTGGTGGCACCTCCCGGTGCTTGGAGGTGTTGTTGTGGCTGCTGTGGTGCTCTTCTGTCGGAAGCCGTCCCCGTTGCTTACAGCTCCATCAGTTCTGACTCCGGTTCTGAGGGTTAGTTTTAGATTTTCCTTTTTGAGTTCGAGCCTCAGGCTCATGTGACGGCAAATTCTTCTCCCAGACCGACAAAAGTCGGGCTCAGGGTCAATCAACCCGCACTCTGGGTCGGCACCTCGACCCGAATCCGAAAAGTACGTAGAATCCGGCAGGCAGTCCAAGGCTGCTTCCGCCCCAACCCACACCCTAAAACCCAAGCCTCTGAACATCAAAGGAACCGAATCTTCGATGGAGTCGAGTCTAGTTTCACCAAAGCCCCAACCCTGATAGTCCCTCCAATCGCCTTGAGGCTGTAAACTCCGAAACCCTAACCCTGAAGTCTGTGGCACTAAAGCCTAAAACTGCACAGAAGGCGGAAGGGTCTCGAAACTCAGAAACGCCACGTTTCCGCCACGTTTCGGAACCCTCAGGGCCTAAATCTCGCAGGAGCCTGAAGCAGGATGAACGGGCCTTCGTGGCTGGGAGCTGTCTTCGGCTCATCGGACTTGAGGTGCGGATTGAGGGCTGTGCGCGGTAGAGGCTTTCAAGGGTTTTTGGATGCGTCAAAGTTGGCAATGTTTGCAAGCCCAAATGCCTAACAACGCCAAGTCTCCGCACGCAGAGTCCGCGGCGCAGAGGCCAATCGCAGTCACAAGCCCGAGCGCCAAACAGCCCTGAGGCCTCAAGCGCAGTGGAGCGGATGCCCGGCGGCAGCGAAGCTCTAAAACGGTTTGGGCGACTGAGGGTTGAGCAATTGGGGTTGCGTACTGCACGGTGCGTGGCGCGGGTTTGAGGCTGTGGAGTTTCAGGGTTTCAGGTATTTAGAGTCCGAGGCTTGGCGAGATTCGCGGGGTTCTTCGCTCCGCACCGTAGCGTAGCAGTGGGCGCACGGCGGCCTCATGGCCATTGTTCCGAGGACTGGGGTTTGGGACTTCGTACAGTTCGGGTTTCGGCTCTGGGCTGGTGTGCGGCCTGTATGGCTATGGGTTTATCGGGTTTGCACCCAGCTGAGGACAACAGATAATTCGAATTTGCTGAGTCTGGTTGCAAATGGCTTTGCAAGATCTCGGAAAATGTTATTTACTTATTTTTGGAAGTTTCCGCGGCAGAGCATCTGAACGGCACTGTTGGGGTAGTCGCATCCGCATCGGAATCCGCCAGATGTGTTTTTGCAGAAAATCTGGGTTTTGACACATTTTCAATCAGGCCGAGAAAGCTGTTTATGGCATGAGCTCCATTGTTCAAGCGCTTACAGAACTCTGCATTTGCAGGGCTTCGGAACCGAGGTGGCTGCGAAGCTGATGAAGTTAGATGAGGGCCGGCACGCCGGCCTGCCGAAGCGTTGGGCTCAGGGCCCATTGTTTTCGATGATGGCGCATTGGTTTAAACCAAGCCTTGATGCCTCTGTCCATGGCTGGAGCGCTACAGCTTGCGAAAGCAGGAAGGGTTCACAGGTCTGAGCGAAGCAATGTGCTGCGGTGTTTATGCTCGTTCATGTCGTTCAGCGCACACGTGCCTACCACATAAACAAGCATTCACGTCCTTGCTGTCAACTTATCGTGCACTCGGCACCATGCCATCAACAAGTCAAGTCAAGCTCTGTGCCCTAAGTACACGATTCAGCCAAACTCCCCGAAGATTAGATGTGGGGCACACACAAGACCAATAGCATGCAAACATCACACCAAGGGGGCCCAGCAGTCTCACATGCGCGTGTCCTTGTTACTGGTTGCAGCGTGGGCCGCGCATGCGACCTATCAAGAGAAGCTTCTGGCACAACGGTCGCTTGAGCTACTGGCACAGTGGCGGGAGGAATGGCGCTCGACAGCAGAGACCGAAGCTAGACAGGCTGTGGAAAGCGGCCAAGCAAATTCTGCACAGGAGATGGATGCAAAACCCACACGCCATGCATTCATCTTCAGCACTAGAGTCACTATAGAGTGGGTGCCTGGGCTGGGCATGAGGGGTTTTAGGGTCGGGCTGGGATCGGCAACCAGAGGCCCGATGCTTCGCCCAAATTGCCCAAGCCTCGAGCGTCGAAAGCCAGAAGCCGATCAAGAACCAATCTCATCGGGCTCAGTGTAAGCCGGATCACATGAACTAGCCGCCGTTTCCGTCAATGGTTTCCCAGACGTCCGGGCAGGAATGGGTCACAAACCGGAGTTGTTGCTGACTTAAAGCATGCTATTGTCCAATAAGAGCTTTTGAAAGCTGCCACTTGCAACGTATAGTTGGCTGGCAATTTTTTTTGCCCCTGTGGCCTGTGGGGTAATTTTGGCTTTAGGTTTCTGGGCGCCGGAAGGGTAGAGGGGTCGCTTGTGACTTCTGTCGGGTGTCACTTGTGACCTCTGTGCCGGTGTCGCTTGTGACTTCTCAGTCTCTGCCCCTACAAGATGCTGCAGTGTCGTGACTTTTGGAT